GGCATTCTTACATGGACACACACCTACACCACATTTACACGTGCACGCACACCGACACACACATACACAGATTTTGTACATATTTTTAATAATGTATAATAGCTATAATTCTAAATTACGAGGCAGACTATCTACCGGCACAGTTTCGTAATGCGTGTGATCGTGCTATATCGCGTATGCCAAAGGAGAGCATTCAGAGATAGGGAAGAAAAATTATGGGGAAGGGGGGAAGGAATAGAGGATAGAAGAAGAGGGGGAGGGGTTTGTTAGAAAAGGAGAATTTTTTTCTAGTAACTCGGGACTTCCTCCCAAAGACTTCGGATCCGATTTTTCGTTCAATCGCTCATTTCCCTCGCGGTTTCTCGATGTCGTCTCGTGTTAAGAACCCCCTGCTAGCTCCGTGGAGGCGGTTCTACGTCGCGGGTGTCTGAAACTAATGGTGGATAGAAACAAAAAGAAAAGAAACAAAAAAAGAGAAAAGAAAAAAAAATACAAAGTCTCGCGACGGACACGCTAATTCTAATTGGCCGTACGAATAAAAATCGAAGCTTCCGGATCGGTCCTCGGGGGAACGGGGCGCGTGGACCCCGTTGCCCGCTACCGTTCCCCGAAATCGTGATCGATCCTCGTTCTTTTACTCGTGCGGCTCTTGACGCTGTCGCTATAAAAGAAAGAAAAAAAAAAAATTCAAAAAACGGAAAAAGAAAGAAAACATACACACAGAGCTACACACACAAACACAAACACACGAGGAGAAAACTCAGAGAGATAAAAATTATTTTCTAAAGAATGAAAGAAAAAAAAAAGAAACAAAATGTAAAGTAAGAAAGTAGGAGAGAAAGGGATCGAGAGAAAGTGTGAGAGCGAAAGTATGATAGCGTTAAATAAAACGGAAAAAAAGCAGAAAAAAGCGTAAAAAAAAGAAACAAAAAAATACATTTAACGAAACCGGGCGAGGTGTCGACGATGAGCTTGCGCAAGAATCGCGCGAGGAACGAGAAAACGAAATGGAAAAAAAAACGAAAAATGAAGGAAAATACTTAGAAAGCTAGAAAAGAGATTCCCTTTTTTTTTTCTTTTTTTTTTCTTCTTTTTTTCTCCCGCGTGTTAGGCACGATCTCGTGCTCGCGAGTGTTTTTCTATAAAGTGCGAGTGTTTGTAAAAGCGAAGATCGAACCGGGCAAAATCGAACAAATTGAGGAAAAAAGCGAAATGTAAGAAAATAGGGAAATCGAAGAATGAGCTACGACAGATACAACAGCGAAAAGCGAAAGAGAAGAGAGATATAATAGAGATTAAACAGTGTCTAACGTACTGCGCGCCTGATTTTACCGTTGCATAGCGTACGAGAAATTCTCACTTAGGTATTTGTAAGTACCGTTTAAGGGGGTGGGGGGGGCCAGTCTGCAGATAATTATGCGCCATTAGTTGCATTCGATCGATAATATATTTAATTAGTTGGCAATTATCCGTGGCTAGCGATCTGTCTTTCTTTCGTCGACTCGCGGAGGATGCGTTTGATCTCGAGGAACCGTGACGCGCCATTTTCTTCGTTCGAACCTTAGGATTATTCTAGCGTAAATCGTTAGCGGATAGAGGCGCTTTTAAATGCTCCAGTTTACATTTCTCCCTCGAAGGCTCCGAGCATTTTTAACGATTCGACATATACCCACGTACACACGAACACGTACACACGTATACACGTATACATACACGCTCGTTCTAGTCATGTACATACACGCGCATGTATGCCCACGCGAACTGTCCCCGGAAGACATTGATCATTTTTAGACGTACAAGCTCTCTCTCTCTCTCTCTCTGTCTCTTGTTTCGAGCAAATGTTAATTACTTTCGTAATTCTCTCTCGCTTCGTATATTTAAGGACGCCGATGTTATAGCCGATTAACGATAGCTGATAAATCATCGATACTTTTACGAGACAAAGGCTGTTGTTGCGTTTATTGTTTACCGATGCGACGATCGTTCTAGCTGCACACTGGATATGATACTCTCTTCATAGCGAGCAGGATCCTTCTTCGATCGAGCTTTCTCGAGATCAGACGCGAATCTGATTTAGCGTCGCGACTTGTAGAACGGGGCGTATATAAATGCGTGACGTCGAGAAGGGCCACGATGCGTTTTCTCATCGGGCATCGGAGAGCGCATCGTGCGGGCTGTTTCGTTTTTGCGTTCGAAATTTCACGCGGATCGTTCGTCCCGGGCGATCCTCTTCAAACCGGATGGAAAATGGGAAACGTCGCAACGCGATCAAAGATCGCCGAATGGGTATGCAGATTGTAAAAAGGGAAACGGAATAAACGCGAGAGAAATAGAAACGGCGGAGGGACAAAAGAAGGGGTAGAAGAGGAAGGAGCCACGCCACTTATATTAAACGTAATATAATAACGCGCTGCATAGCGATTCGTTTCTTCTCGAAGTACACACGTATACATATACATATATAGTTTCTTTCCTTCGTAGTGCATACAATAATTAATTCCGGCGTATTCATTGCGTACTGTATAAATGTATACATAGCGTAATGCATTAATTGAGTAATTACCATCCGGATGGCGGCGACTTTAACGGTTTCCGTGCGCAGGGGAGCCGCTAAATGCGCGTTACAAAGTGATTCATAACACGTTATTTCTATAAGACGAAAGACTCGGGCACATTCAGATGCTATACAGTGTAAAACAGAGGAAAAAAAAACGGAGGATAATATTGTATCTGTGTTGCCATTAGCGTTAAAAGAGAAAGAAAAAAGAAAAAAAAAAACGAAATGGAGGGAAAAAGAAATTAAGAGGACAGACAAAGCCAAAGTATATAGTTAATGAAAAACACGCGGGTAATACATACGTACACGGTACATCTATACACGTAACACGCATCCATGCGTGCCGCATAACTGGATCACGCATGGACGTGAAGACAGAGGACACACATATATAAATAAACATATGTTGTATACACACACACACACACACACACAGGTACGCGCGTGGTCACGCGTGCGACACGTACATTACGTACCCGACGATGTAATTAATAAGTACTTTAATCCCGAGAAAAAGATTCGTTTCGCGGTATGAGAATGATTTTAGGAGCCTTCGTGTTGAATAATTAGCAATCTCATTCCATGTATCGTATAATCGAGAGATCGAGTGACCGTGATCAGTACGTATATAGCGATAAAATTACTAAATGACAAAAAAAAAAAAAAATAAGATGCGGAATGATGATGATGAACCTGTTGGAAATTGACGGTTCGTAGTGTGTACTGTATTCGAATGTGATCGATTTGTTACTTATGTCCCCGATTATTGTTACGTTGTGCTTCTTATTATTGCTGATGTATTCTTATTATTGTCACGTTTATTACGACTCCGACAAGTATTACCATCACTGTGAGTATTATTAGCTTTATTATGCCGATCTTTATTATTGAATATTATTTATTACTATTGCTATTTATTATGATTATTATTATTACTATTGCCAATATTATTAATATTATTATTATTATTATTATTATTATTGCTATTATTATTAATATTATTATTATTATTACGCGAGCAAGATCAAGTGCTCATTTTTTTCTAGTCGAATTTCTCTAGTCCCAATTAGAGTACTGTCGATACTCAGTCTCCCCCGTCCCCGATGTATTTGATTTTTTGTCAAATAATCCCAAAATGATGGCACACGTTGCAGGACACATAGATCTTGCGTAATAGAGTGATGCATTTCCTGTGCAACAAATGCAGTATACAACCCGTAAATATGAGGTCAATGTTGATTTGTTTAAATAAATGTAAGTTTGAAAACTCACGATGGCTGTAAATCATTTTTACTGACAATTTTCCTTACGTACTTGTTACCGATCGAGGGAAACATGATAAAATCTATTTTATCTTCATACGAGTGCACGTGCAGCTTACCTCTGCATCTAGTGCACGTCGTAGTATATGCTGCGAAGATAACAGTTAATATACGTCACGTTTGCACATTGGCATTTGGAAAACGCTATGAAACAAAAATAACTTTAGACACGGTGTTGGTGCTTATTATAGTTTCTGTATATAAACGAGTAAACACAAAGTATGGCGACGTGTCAAAATGGCCGATCTCAACAAAGAACTAAACGAATATCTTCTTAGTAGCAAAAATGAGAAACAGTTCAAAATTACCGTACCATTGGTGACGATACCAAAAACGAATATTAAAAAATGGTTTGGAAAAAGTGAGGAAAACAAAGAAGAAATAGGATGGATGCAAGGAGCACAAAAGGAATGTTGCCCTAGTATGGTACGTATATGTGCAGATATGTATATATATGTATAAATATATGTATATACACACCCACCACATATCCTAATATAACCTAATTTACTAAATATTTGGAAAATATCGACTCAAAATGTCGACAAATTTCGTTTTTTTCCTGACAGACAAGAATACAAAGGTTAATAGCATTTGTTCTATGCTTTTCTATGGGTATACTTTGTTTCTGTTTATCGGCGATTTATATTCCGGTTTTACTACTCAAGGCAAGAAAATTTGCTCTTCTATACACCCTAGGTAGCCTTTTCTTCTTGTCAAGGTAAGCTTGTAGATATAGACATTGTTATAAAAAATCAAACAATATTTATATTGAACTAATTTTTATAGCTTTTGCTTCCTTTTGGGTCCATTAAGTTACCTAAAATCATTATTTACTGCTGAAAGAAGATGTTTCACTATATCCTACATTGCAACTTTAATAGGAACACTTTACTGTGCTCTACATTTACAGTCTACGCCATTAACAGTATTCTGTGCTGTTTTGCAATTAATAGCCATGTTATCATTTTTAATAAGTCATATACCAGGGGGAACTAAAGGTCTAATGTTTTTTACAAAAATCTGTAAGTCTTCTGTAAATTCTACATTGCCTATATGATATTATAGTTATTTAGGTATTAGATATATACGTATGAAGTCGTATTGTATCTTTGATTTAAATACTTTATATAACTTCGTATATGAAACATACAATTTTTATATGAAAATAGATAACATGCCAAGCATGTGTTTGCGTGGGTTCAACATGTACAAAAGACTGACTTTATAAATCTTAGTATGTAATCAGACTTTATGTAATATGTATAATAATATGTTTGTTAATATCTAACAAATTGAATAAATAAAAATAATTTTGTTATAAGTAAAATATTAAAATTGCTATAATAAGTTATTCAAGAAACATAGTTTTTTGTATATAATATACTTGTATGTATAAAAAATACAGTTGTATTAATTCTGTATATTTATATATACTACTACAATGTTATAAGTATTATTTATTTAAGGAAATAAAGATTGTATTTACATATCCATTATTTATTAAAGTGTAAAATAAAAAAGTGTCCAATCATATTCACGAAGTATATATTACAAATTGTTTTACTATTATTTTTTTTGCTTTGAAATTTTCGTAGCTTTTATGCGATTTACGTTACCCTGTACGCGTTTTACTTTCAATGGTATATAGGTAACATTTCCTGATGTATTATTAATTTTTGAATAATTTTTTCGATGTGCGGAATTTTTATTCCTACGAATATTAATGTACCTTGAATTTTTCTTAATAGTTTTATCAAACTCATCAGAGTCATAGTTAGTTATGGAAATAAAATCATCCTCTTTCGTGTCTTTTTTAACAGGCTCATTTGTACAACTTTCAGTTGTACTAGGTGGAACAAATATCCTTTCCTTACACGAAGTTCTATACATATATACATTCGTGGATATTGCAAACTCAATTGGCTCTGAAGAATCAATCTCAGACTCATTGTCAACGCTTATTTTATTTTGTTCATCTAATATACTTTGGTCTAGTGTTTCGATATCTTTAAATAATTGGAGCTTATTTTGTGGCAATGGTATATCCTTAAAAATATCATATATCATTGTATATAAAGAATGGAAATGATGATCTAAAGAATTCATCGCGATATTCTGAAATTGAAATTATGAAGATAGAATAGAGCTTTCATAATACTATTTCTATATGTAAATAATTATACCGTTAAAGCACATGCAGCAGATGCAAATCCAATGGTGTTTAATGTTATAATTTTTAATTTGGGTAACAACAATATTGGCATTTTCTTATTTTGTGCCATATGAATAACATGCTTTATTAGAAGTGGTGGTGAAATGTTTGCATCCATTAAAATACAACAAATATTCTCCTTCTCTAAAGATCTTGTGACAGCATTTATACCCAAGATCACTGAGTTCCTAAAAATATAAATTTCAAAAATATAAGAAGATCAAAGAGGTTTACATTAATGCAATTAAGAATAATCACGATAGTTCTGCATTGGGAAGATCTCCTTCTTTTGAAAGAGCCTCTTTTTTAGCTTGTACACGCTTTTTCATGTGCTTGAGCTGTGACGATGGAATAGAATGAGATGGACGTTTTATAGCTGGCATTAATCTATAAATATTAATTATAAAAAATGTAAATTTAAATTAATATTTCTCCTATATGATTTTTTCAAACTTACTTCTTTAAAAGATCTTCCAATAATGGGCATTTTTCTGCATCTACAAGTGGCCTAATAAATATACATATACGAAATATATAATATATGTTAAAAAATAGTATTATTAATTAATATTATGTGCATATTGCAATATACTATACCAAAAATTGTCTTGTGGTTGTGCTAAGATATTTCGTAATCCTTTGGCTGATGCTTTTTTCGCTGACAATGCATTTCTTTGTTGTTGTTTTGATAATATTGGTGTACTCATTGTCGAAAAATTAAAATATCAATATAGGTTAAGTTTCCCTGTGGACACATGGTAATTCCATAAATTATAAATCATAAGATAGTAGATCGAAGGATGGTATTTTTGTGTTATAAGCGCCATCTCTGTAAGACAAATTTTGCGGAAAATTCGAAAATATTGTATTTTTAAATATTGCTTTTTAATCAAATTTCAGTTAATTGTATAATGTTAATAATATTTTTAGTATAGAAGGAATAAATAAATAAAGGAAGAGATACGGTAATTATTTTTATAATTTTGTTTTATGTCACTTTATTGATTATTTAAAATTCAATAAAGTTTTTTTATAAAAAGACAGAATTTTATATTAAGCAACATGAAAAAGTAGAACGGTATATGAGTTCTTAAATTTTTAAATTTAATCATCTATGTGAACTTTGAATTAGTGGCGCAGAAGCGATGTGCGCATCTCATTGTAAACGGCACCATCGGTTCCAGCGGCGCTTGCGAAGAAAGTTTGTCGAAGTAAAAAACGTAGGTGCTACGCCACTGGACCAAAGTGCAGGGGAATGGATAATGTGCAGAATACGCTTTCGAAAGGGAGCAGGACCGCAGCAGTGCACGCAGCAAGTCAAGATTGTCAAGATGGATGCTCAGTGCCATCGGTACGGAGTATGGATTTTGCCGCGTGATTCGTAAACGAGCATCATCGTTGTTGTTCAGTGGGGAAAAGATTGTGTATTGGGAAGTATTGTTGTTCATGGTGTTCTAAGGTGTTCTATGGTGTCTCGGTATACAGCGTTAAGTAAACGGAATGCTTACACATAGTGATGAGAAAAACACCTAAAAGCAGTGCGGTAGTAGCGGCCTTCTACAATGGTGGATAACAATTGTATTATCGAGGGAAACGTCAAATTTCGCGACGGCAAAAAAGTAAGTACTTTTGTCCGATTTTTTTCTCAGTAACTTGCCACTTTCCATTTATCACCGTGATGTTTAATTAATATCAAGAGGATATATTCTTAATTCATTATTCGTTAAAATAATACAGCTTAATTTATCTCATGAATCTATACGATGCTAAAACATAATACGGTGTCCGTTCATATTCTCGCGAAGAAAATCGTTTTGATGGATCGTAATTCAACTCATGTTCAATCTCGTGTTCATCTTTCATTATTTCTGTGTTGTTTGAACACGCTACGCTACAGTTCCGATGAAAAAAAAAGAGAATAGGAAAAAATTATATAACGATGTAAGGATCTTGCGCTAACGTGTTCGTCAAACACATATATTGCACGTATAAGCATTTGTGAAATCAATGAAAAATATGAAAATCCAAATGCAAGCAGTGTATGATTAAATTTCATTCCCTTTATTAATATGCATTATAAATTGCAATATATAGCGGAAATTAAAATATAAAACGAGATTTGTAATTTGATGTATTTAATTAATACTTTTAACACATAGTTAAATATTCATCAGGTCTGTACTTCATGGGTAGCTGGTATTTGGATATTTTAACAAACTCTTGTCAGCATGAAATATTTATTTCTTTGAGTTCATTGAAATTTCAGCACATTATTGACTTTTTATTGGTCATAGCCAAGGAGTCAAATTAAGGTATCCTGATGTGATTTCAATGAGCATTGCAACTATTAAGCTGTTGAAAGCTTAAGGAAGTATTTAATGTGAAAGAAATGAAGAGCCATAAAGCCATAAAAAGCTAACTCATTTTCTTTTATTTACATTGGGGTACCAAAGAAGTCATTCAAATGAGAAAGGGCAGGAAACTCTTTTATTTTTATCACAGGGGTATAGAGGGTCCAAATTGATTCAGGCCAATGCATATTACATATGTATCCTCTTTCACATAATTCTATGCAAACATGAAATATTTATGTATGGCCAACCCTGTTCTCTCTGTTACTATTAATGATGTTCATTGACAATACTCAAATGTTGACAATTTAATACATATTAAAAATAAGTTAAGCTTATATTAAAATTCTGAGAATCTCTTATATTTATTCAAAAATATTTGTCTGTATTACAGTGGAAATCAAGATGGTGTGTCATGAGGAAATTGTCACCAGTTGCAGGTAACATTTTACAAACATTTTTAATAAATTTAATTTATGTTTGTAGGAGAATCAGTACACATGATAAAGATAACTTTGGCTGTTGCATAAGAAAGACATAACAGCTAAAAGCAACTGTAGATAGCAGACAGGAAATGTTGCATATTTTATTCCATCTCTTGTCTCTGGTGTCATTTCAAAGATAAGAAAACACTTTCCTCTTTATGTAACATCTGTGCATTTCCCACAATGAACCATTCTTGTGCACCTTAAAGACTGTATCCTTTTAATCTTATCAGTGTTGATAAAAGAAGGAAATGTTGGAGCTACATCTGTAGTAAAAGAATACCAGATGTTGCAAACTGGCCCTAAAAACCAATAGCAATTCTATTTCCTACCACATTCCTAATCCTATCTCCTAAAAGAATTTCCTTACTTGTTATCAGCATAAAGAATCCCTCCCTCTGACCCTGTCCTAGGGTGGCAGCTGGCACATCTGTTACAGATTGACTGGCTTGGAGAAACAAAAAATTTCCAAGAAGAGCTTTGCTTCTGGCAATAACCATTAATACCTGGCCCTTGTAACTTGAGGATATTTTAAAACTTAGGGACACCAGTAGCTCATAAATTTTCTTTAGGGAGAATTAGTTAAGAGTACATAGAAGGGACTAAATGGATTTAATGCGTTTCTACGTCCGTATAACAGTATTTATAGCATGTCGTGCTAGTCACTTAGCGTGTGAAGTATATCGTTGGCACAGTTTGTTGAAATAATACTCGATAAAAGATACCCCGTTTAAAATGTATTTAATCAAAGGTATTCATTACCGATCCCGTTTCAAACAATTGTTTAGAAGATATTGTGTTTCTTTGTAGATTGTCTTCACTTGCAACTTTACGGAGATAGCAAGGATCGATATAAGCAAGGTCAAACGAAAGCTTCATTAAGTTTGCAACATTTCCTCGGTGTGGAGAGCGGTTTCACTCTTGACAAAGAATCCAATACAATAGCTATAATATGCCAGGATGTGACGGTTGTTTTAGCTTTCGACACTAGAGAACGATTGATACAATGGCAGGTGAAAATCTCCAACAATTTGGGCGAAGGTATGCTATCTTGATTAAGAAAATTATTCTGGAAGTTACGGATTTATAATTCTCGATTTAATCGAAATTATATTTTCTTCGCAGATCAACAGTTCCTGATACTGATCTCCACGGTTCCATCGAAAGCGAAGCTTACAAATGGACCAGCGCATTTACACATTCAGGATCGTCGCTTCTGTATCACCGTCGGGATACCTCCCAGATTAGTTGGTATATGGGAAATCGCGCATCTTCGACGTTACGGAGTGGTGGAAGGGCGATTCTGTTTCGAGGGTGGTTCGAGATGTGGTCGAGGGGAAGGTCTTCATGTTTTGATAACAGATCAAGGAGAAGATATCGTGAAGATGCTGCAATTAGCAGCAGAAGGGAAACTGACAAAAAAGCGACCGGTTAGCCGAGAGCAGATAACACAGGACAGTCCGCGTCGTCAGTTTTCCCGATCGGAAACTAGGGCCAGCGATTTTTTCCCCTCGGCTGTTTATTCGTCTACGTATGAAGAGCAGTGCGACAGCTGCAAGAACGAGAGCTCGCCCTATTGGTCGTCCACCGAAAGTAGGCAACAAACTGAACTCGACAGGGATTACAGCAGCAGAGACACCGTCTCCGTGTCAGAATTGCCTGATCAGCCAGGGGAATGGCGCAGCTGTTCTCTCACTCGTCAAGGAACATCCGCTCTCGAGCGCTGCGCTAGTTGCATCAGCAAGCTAGGAACCGTATCGAAATCCTCGACTTTAGCCACGACGATTGGCGCAAGCAGTATAAGCAGTCCAGCAGGAACGATGAACAATATAGGTTGTCATTTGCAACCACGCACGCTCGATCGATTATCGTTATCCTCGTATAGTAGTAGCAGCCATGACAGCGATTATTCCAGTTCACAGCAAGTGGAATGTCACTGTTCGCAAAATTCAAAGAATTCGCAACAAGCGAGTGTTCAACGCATGTCGCCAAGTCCTAGCGCACTGCCACCGAGACCTCCGAAACCGTCCCAAAGTACTGCCACGAAGAAGGTTAAGAAACCTCCAATGCCACTGCCAAATGAACAAGTTTGCGTGCACTCGCGTAAGCAGCAGCTGATGATACGAAATGCAAATGCTGCTGCTGGTCCTTATGAAAATTATGACGTGCCCAAGACGATTTTGGGCCATCACATGCTGTTGGAACAGAATTCCCAACCGGATCAGTATTACGATACGCCAAGGAAAATCAAAGAATGCCTAGCACTGCCAAAAACTTATCCTAATTACGATACACCGCAGGCGCCTCAAGCTGTGGTGTTGCAACAATGTGGTTGCCCGGCTAAGCTCACCGTTCAATCCCCCAGATCCTCGGGGTGTCCCTGCCAAAACGTGATGAGTTGGGCTGGTTTCGTACTGCCATATTGCAGACGAGGCGCAGGAATTGAACCAACCGGGGTTGCCGTACATCCCGTGAAGCTTTCTGGAGAAGGAAAAATGCCTGTGGTAAACGCGAGCGGAGAGATTGCGATATACGCAACAGCGAAACGAGTGAAAAAATCGGAAAACGTCGAAGATAAAGACAAAGATAATTGCGAATGCCCAGAAAATGTAACCAACAATTATGAAAACGTTGAACCTGTAATCGATACGCAACCCGAATCCAAACAAGCAAATTACGCGAACATAGACTTTACTCAGTCCCTGGAGCATTATGAAAACAGCAAAGACCTTTTAGCAAAGAGTGGAATATCGCAGGAAGAAATGGAAAAGTTTTCCGATCAAATTAAGGACGATACACCTGAACCGCCCACAGAAGATTCGTCCAAGATATGTCAGAAGTGTGGTCACGTTAAGGACCGGGAGAACGACTACTTAGTTATGGATCTCGAGAAACAAACGCCAAAGAAACCGTTCCCTGGCTATCTTCCAATGCAGCCAGCGCACAATGCCTGTTCGAAAGAAATTTTATCCAGAATCTGCAGCGGTATAAAAAGCTCGAGCAACCCTGCATTGTCAGGATCTGCGTTATCGGAGGGCGGCAAGAAACGATCCGATTCCGAGTTTCGCGTTCCAGGTTCGGCGATGTTGTCCAGTCCATATCTCAGGCGTCGTTACCTGGATGGAAACGGTGCAACAGAATCCAATGGGAACATTGGTATGCTGTTGAGAAAGCGCTCTTATTCTGCGGAATCTGCTCACTATTTGGACGACGAGAATCACACTTTTCCGTCAACGTTGACCATTCACAAATGTTCTAGCGAAGCGGATAAAGCTTCTCTGGTCAGAGGAGAGACGCACTCTCCGTGCGTTAACTCAGAGACCAAGATTAATCAAGATAGTGGGCAAATGTCGATAACCTCGCCTCAACCAACGTTCATAAAAATTCGACGGTCCTCTTCCGTTCCATCTAAGACTGGTCACAACCGAGACTCCTCTAGTAGCAACGATTCAGGCGTTTCTACTGGATCTCTTAGTCACAGAACAGCGGAATTCGTAGAATTCGAATTATCACTGGCGCCTTCGACGTCGACGAGGAAGCAGAATGTATTGTCTGTTTATAGAAAGAGTCCACCGCCTACGTGTTATCATAGCAGCCTACCGAGAAAATCCAAATCCAGTGATCCACTTCGAGAATTGTCCTTTCAGTTTCAAAAAATCAAGATCCCTACGAAATCCTCTTCGGCGGAAGCTGACATTCCGACGTGTTTACCCAAACCCGCGAAAGGATACAATAGTCCAGGGGAAGTGTCCAGTGCTCCTTACATCGACTCACGAAGTACAAGCAGCGGTACATCCGATATGTCCGATTATATCGAGACATTGTCGTTGTCGTCTCACTCTTCATCCGATACACCAGACAGTCTGAGGTAAGATACTCGCGAAAGAATGTAACTGACGTTTTCTTCAAGTTTCCGTCCACTCTGTCTAGTGAAGAAACATCGTCTAAGCGTAGAAGAGATCATTAAGAAGCAGAAGAATACTTAGCCTTTTTCTCGGTTTTTCAGACTGGGTGGCAGAGCAGTGGCAACGACGCTTCGTCCTCGTAGTGGGAAATTGAGCAAGGAAGAACGTTGACGACACCTTCCGCCAATTACGCGAATATTACGCCGGTACTTGAGAAAAGCGAGTCCCCTTCCCCTGGATACATGAGCAGCTCTCCCTTTGAACAGCCACAACCTACTCGCGAACACTTTTTGTTTCCCGATGTGAGTAGCATAATTTGCGGAACTATATCGCATTGTATTTGTATTTACATTAATAATTTATGTTTCTATTTTGTGATTTTTACAGGAAGCTTGAACGTAGCAACATTGTTTGGGAAGAGAGCGGAAAACTTGAAGTTCCTAGGAATTCCAAACAAAACCAGTAAGAGTATTCATGGTAGAAATTATAATCGGGGCATCGTGACTGTTTACACTATACGCGGGTATCTAGTTGACCATTAATGCTTTTTGAAGCAATGCATGGCATGAAACGTGCATTCCGTCGAACCGGAAGAAAGAAGGGGTCATCTTTCAACGGTCCAAGGTTTAGGAATCAGAGTAAGGTATCTATTTAGGATGGTTATCTTTCTGCTTTCTTTACATCTTTTTACGATAATGTCTTCTTACAAAGCGAACCCGCACAATCAAAAGAACCTAACTGAGTAAAGGGGAGTTTTCGTAAGAAATTCTAGGTTCTAGCGTATAGTTGAAATAAAGTCAATATACAATTGAAATACTTCCTACAACGACTCAAACAATTTCTAAAATATGCTCAATAAGAAACTGTAATAGTTTGTATAGTAAGAATCCTGCCCTAGGATAAAAAGAAGTGTGTGCATCGTATACTTTATATGAGTATATCGTTTTTTGGATATGTTTTATTTTATATGAGTATACTTCTATATAGGGTATTGTACAGCGGTTAAACCGGAGAATTCCAGTTAAAGGACTCTGTGTTTATACTGGTTAACACGATACCATCGATTTACATTCTAAAATATACAACCAAAAACAGAGATAAAGAGAGAAGGAGAGGGAAAGAGAACAAAGGAAGAACAAAATGACGAAAGAAAGAAAAGAAAATGCAATGAAAGTAGTCAGTTGCATAGCGTTCACAGGGTTTTCAAATCTTTACTAGTTATTTTCTAAAGGCTTAAGATAACATTTATATAGCCGTGAAATGGTCTTCTTTTTAACGAGATTTATATGATGGATATCGTAGTCTCTGGGCAATCAAAGATGGCACTATGTATAGATTATAAACGAGATATCTTTAAATAAGTCCTAAGGATACGCGAACGGATATAAAACTCGAATTATTTTTATTGAATTTTTATAGTCCATGGGCAGACTTTTATCGATAATCTTTCTCATCGTAATACGTTCCCAATTTCATGCCTTTACATGCGTTCGATTCGTATAATTTTCCTACTAGATTTACATAGATCTACGCAACGAATTAGTTTTTAGTCATAATTGCAATATTATTTTTTTCTTTCATCTTTATAATCGTAGTAAACGTACTTAAGATATTTTCTATTCGTACTTAAGATATATCTATGTCGTTTCGTATGCGCGAAGAACGTCTATATGTCTATGGAATTCTTTACCAAAAAAAAACCAACAAAAAAAAAGAGAGAAAGAGAGAGAAAAGAAACGAAGAATATTTATTTTTACTTCGACGGTGCAGGATCTTTTTGATAATAAAACTATATCGTAGACGATTAAGCGAGAGAGCTAGCACGACGTATCGAAGGGGAATCGAATCTATCTAGGCCTATATTTTACGCCTGCAGAGCTTCGGACTTTCTTTGATCGTCGTTAAGACAAAAGAATATATACGCGAGCTGTAACCGCGAATCATCTCTGTATTTAATTTCGTTCTACTCTGGCTTATTTCAACGAATAATTTCAGACATTGCACAAGCGAGCAATAAATAGGGAAGACGTGTAAAATCGCGCGATCACGAGTCGAAATCTTGCACCGAGGATAATCGAGTTTTGGAACAGGCTGGTAGAGCTGGTCGATATGATATTATGCAATGCAGTGATACTGAACGCAATAATAGAAATGCTAGATTAAGAATGAATAGAAAGAAAAAATAGAGAGAGAAAGAGAGAGAGAGAAAGAGAGAAATGAAAGAATCGATATTGAATGTTTTCGCATTGAAATATATTAAAACGGATTATTCTCTGTTTCATGTACACGTTACGCTCCACGGAGTGGATAATCAAATCAGTATTCAGAATCAAAAAGATCAACGGTAATCAGCGTTTACCGTGCATATTAGAGGTTCATTGAACAATGTAAAGTTAACCGGGAATCACGATTCAACGACAATATAGCTGTATTTCCCCCCCAACACGCAAGGAATTGTTTTCGTCGAGCTGGAACAGAATTTGTAATATATAATAGTAACGCTCTACGCTACGTCCGTCGTTTTTTCGAGCCCCGGGTATATTCTTTTTTCTTTTTCTTTTTTCTTTTTCTGTCGGAGCAACTGCAACTATCGCTGTAGCAACGCCACGCTTATTCTTTTGGTCACGCAGCGGGTTTCTAAGGATGCAACCGAACGAGCCACGATAGGCTCTTTCGCACACAGAGGGATTATGTATAAAGAATTATATACTTACAGTTGACTCTATAACGAATTGTAAAAGTATTAAAGTAGTATTAATCACAAGACTGAACAAAAGAAAAAAAAAAATGAAATAATAGTTGCTGTGTGGGTAAATCGTAGGAATTATCTAAAGAAGCTAGATTTATATATAATTTTCGTCTCATGCGCAGCTCTCTTCGAGCTCCATCTATGATTAACCCCTTTTCAACCGGGGAGACTCCTCTCCCTTTTATTTTCTAACCTGCATTCCGCGCGTCGAACGTGTTCTGTGTCTTCTATAATATCGTAGTTATGGCGAGACGTTGAAAGCGTTAAAGAGCAAAAGAAAACGAAGGAAAAAAAAAAGAATAACGTTACGCATTTGCTCTGCTTGGTAAATTTGAATGGTACCAAGTTCACTCTGTCCAAGCTCTCCGAATTTCATATGCTTAATTATATTACGGGAAATCGTATTCTCCATACGAATGATTTATAGAACACGACACGATGGATACTTAATCAAGCAAAACCGTAATATTATTGAAAATCAAGATTATCCGAGCGTAGAGTTAAACGATCGACCTTTATATTTCTCTTGCGCGGATCGTTGAATCCCAGAGGAAGTTGTTAGATCGTAATGTCGTCGAGGGAATGGTATAACCTTTAAGATAAAGCCGATATTGTACCCCATAATTTTCAAGTAAATATCGTATAACAGTAAGGAGAATAATAGAGATGCGTGACGAGAGTGTGTTCACAGTTTTTACGCAACTCTATTATATTATACGTCGCACCGATGATTCCCAGTCGGGAGAGCGACACGATCCGAGCCGAGTCGATCCGAACCGAACCGAACCGAAAGAATCGGACGTCTCGACAAGATCGTTTAACAAGATGGCGTTTATCTGTTTGACCGAATAGTCGCGTAAGAATTGGGAATCGATTCTATAAACACATGCTAGTCAAAGTTAAGTACTACCGTAGCGATAATATATTTTTACTGTAAAGGGGACTATCGCGGACAGGTCGAAGGCTGAGCACGTGTTCCAGTGCACGGAAGGAGATAATTATTCGAGCGACGCGATCGCGAATAGAATCGTCTCTTTCTTTTTCTTTTTCATTTCATTTTTCATTTTTCATTTTTCATTTTTCATTTTCATCTCTTACCATTTCCACTTTAACGAATATTGGATTGGAACGTACAAATTGGACGAAACAACGCTTCGGATCGTATCGTGTAATTATAAAAATATAGTGACGATTGCATTTATCATAGAACTTCTTCGAACGGTAACAAGTAGCTTCTAGTCAACGGAGGATCAATAAGGAAAAGCACAGTGAACGCAGGAAAGCCATTAGTCGAGCATCGCATACGTTGCAATCCAACTGATCTCTGATTACGCTCTACGGAAATCGCAATCCCTCCAGGCATTCGAACAAGCTTGAGACGAAGCGACGGAATTGCTGGAAGTCCTGGCGACGCGTGCCAGCCTTTGAGCCTCGAACAACCATATCTAAGAATTTACTAACGATATATTAGATTTATATATAATTTTCGTCTCATGCGCAGCTCTCTTCGAGCTCCATCTATGATTAACCCCTTTTCAACCGGGGAGACTCCTCTCCCTTTTATTTTCTAACCTGCATTCCGCGCGTCGAACGTGTTCTGTGTCTTCTATAATATCGTAGTTATGGCGAGACGTTGAAAGCGTTAAAGAGCAAAAGAAAACGAAGGAAAAAAAAAAGAATAACGTTACGCATTTGCTCTGCTTGGTAAATTTGAATGGTACCAAGTTCACTCTGTCCAAGCTCTCCGAATTTCATATGCTTAATTATATTACGGGAAATCGTATTCTCCATACGAATGATTTATAGAACACGACACGATGGATACTTAATCAAGCAAAACCGTAATATTATTGAAAATCAAGATTATCCGAGCGTAGAGTTAAACGATCGACCTTTATATTTCTCTTGCGCGGATCGTTGAATCCCAGAGGAAGTTGTTAGATCGTAATGTCGTCGAGGGAATGGTATAACCTTTAAGATAAAGCCGATATTGTACCCCATAATTTTCAAGTAAATATCGTATAACAGTAAGGAGAATAATAGAGATGCGTGACGAGAGTGTGTTCACAGTTTTTACGCAACTCTATTATATTATACGTCGCACCGATGATTCCCAGTCGGGAGAGCGACACGATCCGAGCCGAGTCGATCCGAACCGAACCGAACCGAAAGAATCGGACGTCTCGACAAGATCGTTTAACAAGATGGCGTTTATCTGTTTGACCGAATAGTCGCGTAAGAATTGGGAATCGATTCTATAAACACATGCTAGTCAAAGTTAAGTACTACCGTAGCGATAATATATTTTTACTGTAAAGGGGACTATCGCGGACAGGTCGAAGGCTGAGCACGTGTTCCAGTGCACGGAAGGAGATAATTATTCGAGCGACGCGATCGCGAATAGAATCGTCTCTTTCTTTTTCTTTTTCATTTCATTTTTCATTTTTCATTTTTCATTTTTCATTTTCATCTCTTACCATTTCCACTTTAACGAATATTGGATTGGAACGTACAAATTGGACGAAACAACGCTTCGGATCGTATCGTGTAATTATAAAAATATAGTGACGATTGCATTTATCATAGAACTTCTTCGAACGGTAACAAGTAGCTTCTAGTCAACGGAGGATCAATAAGGAAAAGCACAGTGAACGCAGGAAAGCCATTAGTCGAGCATCGCATACGTTGCAATCCAACTGATCTCTGATTACGCTCTACGGAAATCGCAATCCCTCCAGGCATTCGAACAAGCTTGAGACGAAGCGACGGAATTGCTGGAAGTCCTGGCGACGCGTGCCAGCCTTTGAGCCTCGAACAACCATATCTAAGAATTTACTAACGATATATTGATCACGAATAGCGAGTAACATTTTCGAGGGTATTATATACGATATGCTCTGTCTATAATTTCCTGTACATATAGTCGGTGTGTGGCATTAGCGTAATCAAGGTTTCTTTATTTTGTGATCCGTGAGATACGCCGCTAGAGAAGATGAGGGACGACTTTTACATGTGTATATATACTAAAAGAAACAGAAAGGGGGAAAGGAACGGCTAGAAAATGAGAGGAAAGAAATTTCTAGTGTGATGAAATGCGCTCGAATCGTCTTCAGAGCCATTATCGCGTTTCGATTGATTTCGTTCGCGCGTTTCCAATGCCGCATGGTGTAATTGCACGTTCAGCGGTGCAATAATTGATTCCCGTGAAACAAAGAGAAGGGAACAGGTGGGGTGAGTGGTAGGGATGGTAGTGGTTGCGAGTGAGTGAGTGAAGTGAGATTTTGTGTGTGCGTGTGTGTGTGTGTGTGTGCGCGCGCGCGCGCGCGCGCGCGTGTGTGTGTGTGTGTGTGTGTGTGTGAGAAAAAGGTGAAAAGGGAGAGGGAGAGAGAGAGAGAGAGAGAGAGAGAGAGAGAGAGAGAGAGAGAGAGGGGGAGTAATGGCAGGAAACCGCGAACGATTCGTATTGTCGTCCTCAGGGATTATTTATGCGATACGAGCAATCTGAAACGCTTTACCGCATACATACACACATACATGCATCGTATTGTAGGATACGAACATCGGAGACAAAACCAAAAAAATGCAGAAAGAGAGATAGACTGGTGAAATTCGTTCTCTCCGTGCGAACTTGAATCCCGTTCTTTATATGTGTATACAGTTATGCGATCAGTGCGCAGAGACGGAACTGTTTGCAAACCGTTTGCGCGTACATACAAACACAGATGCATAAGCAATCCGTTCCTCGTGGCTGCCGATGCTTACGGACTCGACGAGAGTGCTCTCGATTGCACGCGATCGTAGCAATTACGGGTAAAAATGGGGGAAGTACAATCGAGAGGGACGCGCCGCGTCTTTCTATCGCTCTTCGATTCTTAACGTGTCTCGTTTCTTTTTCATGCGGTATCGTAGAACCACCTATCGTTCGAACAAAAGAACGAACGTTTTAGTTCGATGAACTGCTAATGGCGCTGCTGTTTCATTATTAAAGTTCGATTGTCTTTGCATTTCGAGTATAACATTCGATCGAAGGTATTCGGACGAGTGGAGGTTCTACCGTGCATTCAGTGTTACTAGCCGAATTCTAAACGATTCACTTTGCATCGTTCAATTCTGACTTCGAAATGTACTTATGTACTGCAAGTGCACTGCTCGAGGTAATTAGAAAACATTTTACTCGACTAATTATATAAAATATTTATCTCGAATTTACGATTTACACTCGATCTGAATATTCTAAACATTTTCATAGCTAACCGCTTCGAGCAGCGTGCAGACACGTACGATACAGTGTTCTCATGTGCCAGGAAGGAAAGAGAAAAGACCGCTACTTCGACGAGACCGATAGCATCGAGCCACGAAGCCTACTGTACATACTATTTCTCCCATAGATCGCCTGTTGATTACACGGCCGATGATCGTGTGCGAATGAAAGAACGGCAGAACACGTTGCTTGCACACGAGCCATTCCAAGCGAGCTGGTTCCGCGTTAAACGCTTCGCATGTGATGAACACCGTGCCATCTTTATTCAGCTGTTACTTCTGTCTGACCCTAAAATGGCATGCGCCGGGCGATAGATGTGTACTTACATGAAAGAGATAGAAAGAAAGGAGGAAGCGTGAATTCCACTAGGTAATAAGGGCATACACATTCAAGAGCACCGAAACAAGAAAAGAAAATCGAGGAAATCGGAATCCGTTTACTTTGACAATCCGTTCTCGACAAGCGAAAAGAAAGATTCAGTTCGGACTGTTCGAATGTGCACCGAAGGATTCGAAAAAATGATCCTCGTTTCGATGCTGTTTATATGAAATTTTATATTAAGCTTAATAATGAGAAATCGTCCTTCAACAGTTTGGTTCTCCTCTCTCGAGCGAGAGGGTTTGAAAGATTAGAGAAGAGAAAAAATATGTAGAGAGGAAAGACAGTATTTTACGACAGTCAGGTGAAAGGTGTTTGTTGTCGAGAATCATAAGAAAATATAATATGCGTAAATACCGCGTTTATTTTCGAAATCCTCATTATTATAGTATAAAAGTCGTCACGTCTCGCAGCGTGACGACGAATTTGATGAATTTAAAAAGAGATGAAACAATAAGTGACGGGAGCTTACTAACCGGGCCATAATCTCACGTTTAAGAACGCATTTCATCGGGGGTAGGGAGTGGAAATTCCGATCGATTTATCTTTTTTGAAGTTTTTTATAATCAAGGTAAGCGGGTGCGTGTGAATGAGCGAGGGTGATCGAACAAAATCATTATTACGTACTTCGTAAGTAAATTATAAAAGGAACTCATACACAGTTTGTAGCGACTCGAGTCACTGATTTATTAAGAAAGTAGAAGAAATAAAGAGATTAAAAAGAATTTTTCACCTGAGTTTTCATTTTTTTTCTTTAAAAAAAAAAAAAAAAATTATGAGAAGATGAAAAGAAAAGGGAGGTAAAATTTTTAAGAGAAAACACTGGATTGTGTAACAAAAAGGGTTCGATTTATTGTTTATAACGTACAGTGCAGAACAAAATATTGGCACGGACTAAATCTTTCTATGATATTTCCTGTCAATTTGTAAAATGTTTTTCATTTCATTTTTTTGTAAGATATATCTATCGCATTTTGCAATTTTTATTTTTGCAGAACAAAAGTATTGTCACCATTACGATTTATTTACATAAATTATTAGTACAAACAATTAAATATTTCACATGTAATCTTTTATTTGTTATTACAATTTTCAAATTAATCTGGTATCTACTAATTTTTGTAACTTCTAAGTTTAGTCCAAAAAGATCTAATAGAATTTAGGTCAGGAGATTATAAAAGGCTTGATAACATATGTGGTGCATTTAAAAAGATCCACTGGCAGACAATACGCAGCGTATATTTAGGATTATCATTATAATTTTAAAAATATTCATACAATCGTATTTGTCCATCGTATTTCCAATGAATATAAATTATTCAATACCAAAAGTACTCGTACGTTCCTATAACATGACAGCAATTCGCGTATTAAATTGATGGATCGATTTTTTGATATTTCTTTGCTCGTTTTAAAATTCAATCGACGCATTGAAAAATTTTCAATCATTTGAAAACAATGCTCTTTGAAACGTCGGAACCTTGAAAATCAGGTAAGAAAAAATCTAAAATTGACAAAAAAAAAACCGATCAAATAAAAAATGAATGTTATTCTCCGAAAAAGATATTTTTGTTTGTATTTCGTTTAGCTGTGATATGTTAACGTTACATGTTAAAAACTTGTATAAATACGTTGTCTAGACTTTTTAAACATAGATTAATTACAGTTTTGTTGCTGAATAGCCGAACGAGAGTTTCCATACATATGATATAGTATATCAATATTTTTATTCCGTTGGAAACAAACCTTTACGAGTTTTTTATTATTTCTCTTTATTGTACACCTATTTAACTTCTATGATTTACAACAGACTTAAAATTTAGACTCGAAAGATGTATTTCACACAAAATTTAAATAAAGAATCATTTTATTTACGGATTTACAGAGAATGTTATAAGAAAATTTAGTCTGTGCCAATACTTTTGTTCAGCATTGTATATTAAAACAGATGTATAATATCGACAGAGCCAATAAAATCTACGATCGCGTTGTTCTTTAGTTTCTTCACATTCAACACAGCTACACGGCTACACAATATTTATCGGTAAGAACGCATGACACAACGAATGCGTCATTAGGTATACAGTACAAGATTCCTATGACGCAGATGTTGCATCATCGAGTGTGAACGTGTTAATTAGATTTTGTTTTCTTTCTTACAGATATACCTCACAAAAATACACTTCTCTCTGTTTGTAACATTCCTTATTCTTTACGGGAGCAGTCATGAGTAATAAAAATATCGTTCGACGAATTTGATCGTTCATAATCGCGCGCCGTGAACGTGACTTCGCGTTATTTGCTTCCTTTTTCTTCTCGCATTTAAATACATATGTATCTTTATTTTACGTTACTTTTATTTTTCTTTATCATCACAAATTACTCCTTCCGGAAAGAAACACAGGCCATAGCGTTCGGTATGTTTTTGCTACAGTTTCTAACGCGATAATTCAATTGACGCTCGACGTGCTTTTCTTTCTTGTTGTTCGATGGCCACCACGCCATTTTCTTTCGTTTTTTCATTTCCTTTTTTTCCCGTTTTAAACGATCGACGAGCAACAATATTCAGGGTAAAGAAAATTCTATCTCTCGACATTGCTCGATTTAGTTTCTCTCTGCTCTATGTATGTAAAGAAACGAATACATTAACGATCACGAAAAACGAGTGTAGCACGAGTGTGAATATTTCTTATTTATAATATACTGCATATTTTTACTTTCTGGCACAAAAGTTAATATTACGTATGGTAAGATCTGTACAAAAATAAGGAGCAGCATTTTAAGCGGTTATCCTTGGCGAAAATTCGAGATTCGAGAAACTTTACTTTCTCCCTGTGTTTTTCCTAGTAATCTTCCTAACATGCTCGAGTAACGTTCTTTGTTCTCTACTTTCGCTTGCTTCTCTTCGAACCGCGCCTCCCCGTGTTCCTATAGTTGCACATTTAACAATTTGTTCAATTTCGTTAAATCATGTATACTTATTAGTGTGTGTGTATATATATATAATATAATATATTCTAAGATTTCCTATAAAAAAGAAGTCATCGCTTGTGGTAAATCAACAGCCGTGCGATTCTGCGAAGCCCATACACCCTTTCTGCGATCTCAAACGTATTTGTAAAACGATCGAACTTTACATCGGAAATTTCCTTGCTCGATAGATGCAAGTGACATCTATTGCGTGTTACGCGTATTTATTAATTCGTCTCGCGCAATCGCACGGCTGACGCTACCCTAAAGTTTTCTATAAAAATAATACAACAAGCTTCGCTATGTTATTATATAAATCGATAGCCGATCTTACAATTATAACAAAATAATTAATATCGTTACGCGGCAACAATCGATCGATAAATTGCATTTCTTTCTAGTCCCTAAGCGTAAAGAGTTGTGATCTATTCTCGGTGTTCAGCAGCTTATACAAGAAAGTGTACATATGTCTCTTGTTTTTAGACGGTAAATCAATAACGATTAACTGCTATACAGATGAACCTCGTGAAATCAGATTGACTAGCGATTATTGAAAAACGTTCTATATAAAATCGGGTTATATGATCGGAGAAACGAACGGAAGAAGATGAGAAGTCGAAACTAAACGAATGAGCATCGAGCGTAACGAATTAACGAGTTATAAGAAGAATAATCGATGACTCGATTTATGAACAATATTTTTATAAGCCTACTCTAACTACGATAATCTTTTTGTCCGAGCAACGTACCAAACCACGATATTAGATATCGTATACATGTCATGGTAGTTGCTTGATACATGTATTTTGGGCGTTCAATGTTAGTTTTCGAAGTTTCACCGATAATCTCCCATTCGACGATACCGTCATTCTCTTTCTAGGCGTTCAGCTCGCCAGCGTCTATTCAATGGCACTTGCACTGTAAAGCTTACACGATATATGTACATGATACAAGTACATAATGCCTTTAAAATTTTGTACGTGATACTTAATCGTATCGTTATATATCATCTTTGGCTTCGAAGCGTCTTATATCTTTTCTCTTCATCCTTCATCCCAAAATACATCTATTAGAAGCTCAATGAAAATATTCTGCGAAGATATTATACGTGTCCTTTCGATATACACCGTTATCTCTTTTGTTATTTCGTTCCATCGTAAATTTATCGATTTTCCTTTCCCTCGATACTACTTTTTAGTTAGACATTAGCTAAATTGTCTTGGTTAGTCTATGTACATATATTTGTATATGCGTGTGATTTTCTTTATGACTGTATGATATTTCCGTAGATATTTCTCGTTTTAAGACACAACAGTAACTCCAGTTCATTATACAAGGGAAGAATTAATCGTTCGACGTGTTTACAGGGAATCGGGGAATCGAAAATCCCTAAAGTTGCGTTCAAAAAGTTATTACATTTCTAGCGAATTCGCTGGTTCTTTGAATAAAAATTAACCATTAACATCGACGTTCGTAAATCGATCGAAAATTACGACGGCTATAGTATACAATGTTCCCTACGTAATGCGTTACAATAATGCAAACGATTAAACCATAGTGCTATTACAGGCATTTGTATGGTATTAGGCTGGTTTTCTGTAAATTCAAGCTTTACAAATTAATTATAAATTAAAAAAGTTATAAAAAAGAAACAGAGGTAAAATGTCTGAGTTAGGTTAGTGCCTCCACTAACATGTTACAACTGAATTCGTTGAAAGAAGAAAACGAGAAACAAGCAAAATACGAAAATGGTATCGAACATTTAAGAAACGTCGCTTTACAGACGTTGAAATTAGTCCTGCTTTTTACAACTATTTGAGACTAGACCTAGAATTGGCTATTAAGATAATTAAACTCTACTTCGTTATTTCGCGTGTAGACTCCTAAGCATAATTATCTATTAGAATATATTCGATCAGTGAGTAAACTTTGATAGAGCAATACGTATTAGATATGCAGCTATAAAATTAAAGTGCAAAATAGTCTTATCTTTTTACTTTTACGAACTTCGATTCGGCATCATTTAATAAAACAGTCTTCCAACTCAAGCATACGTGTTCGTTTTTACTCGAATGTTAAAATACGCGGTACACGTTCTCAATCGATGTACTGAAAGATAATTTTTGCTTTTCGTAATGTGGGCGTACGATACGATAAAGTAAAAACATATATTACTGATAACGCGTAGAATGTTTCAAAGTTTCATCATTCGATCTCTTTAGTTTCTGTCAATTAAATGAGAATAGAAAAATACATAGTTAATAAAGAGTAAAAAATATAGAAGACCGAGTAAAAATGGCACGAAACTGTAAACTAATTGAAATTACTTCAGAGACAAACAGTTTTTAAATACCGCGCCCTTCTATTAAAGAAAATGCTAAATCTGGACATTTTAGTTTAAAAAATAATAAGAATAAAAAGTATCCCACGAAATCTTTCTAACTTTCTGACACAATATGTTTGCAATTAGATGCGAACCAGCACATACGGTTATCTCCTTTTTTCCTTCTTTTATCTTGATACGTTAAATGCGTTCGGTCTAGTTACACTAATAGAGTTGATACTCCTCGAACTTTCGGCACAACTTATCGATTTCTTCGTATCTTAACTGTGAACCCACAGGACTGGAAGCCCTTGTAGCGGGTGCAGTTCTACTACGACGTACAAAACTTCTTAAGGGTATTTTGCTATGTCCCTGATTATGATTTACGTCTAACGTTGAATATCGTCTTAGAGCCCGGCTTAGTCGTTCTGACGGTGTATAGTCAGGCACGTCTAAGCTATGTTGTTCTTTCAAATTAGGCTTAGTTTCTTTCGTGTCCAATATCTTTAAACTAAAATTTGCAGAGTGTCGTTTAGTTCTGTCGAACATGCACTTCGACTGCACAGCTTTAGGTCTGTCCTTAACTAGTATCAGTGCGTTCCGCCGTTTCATTTTATCGTCCATCGGTCTTTCTTGATTTACGCTGAATCCAAACCTTGATCTCATTAGTGGTCCAGCGTACAATGAATCCTTTTTGTCGAGTTGTTGATTCTCCTTCACTAAACTCAAACCCTCCTCGTAATCAATTGATCGTAATCTTATACTTTTCGCTTGATTAGCACCGTTGGTTCTCCGCTTTATACCGTCCTCGTATTCGGCAGAAAAATTTCTCTTAGGCTTTCCTTTGTCAAAATTTGCAGAATTTCGTTTAGTCCTATCCAATGTACACTTTGACTGTACAACTTTTGGTTTATCTTTATCCAATACTAACGAATTTCGTCGTTTCATTTTATCGTCCATTGTTCTTTCTTGATTCACTCCAAATCCAAATCTCGACCTCATCAGAGGGCCAACATACACCGGATCCTTCTTACCGAGCTGTTGATTTTCCTTCACCAATCTCAATCCATCTTCGCAGTCGATGGAAGTCCTCACATCGTTTGGTTGATCGGCATTCGTTCTTCGTTTTATACAGTCTTCATACTCGACGGAGGAATTTCTTTTAGGCTTGCCCTTGTCGAAATTCATACTGGTAGGCCGAATATGATTGACATTGAACGATGTTCTTCTTTTTCCAAACATGGGATCTTGTAAATGTGGTATCTTGGAGGTGCTCTGAGAGAACTGTACCGGTATCCTGATACCAGCATCCACGAGGAATTCGTCGTCCGACAGCATTACAGGTATTTCAGGCATAGAACTACAAGGCCAACAAGAGTTATAGTGAGCATCAAGCGTTCTTACATTGGTAGTATCCTTGCTGGTAATGTTAGTGGGACACCCGTGGGCATAATCTCGGATTAGTAGGAAATCTTGCTGTAATCTGCGCCGATGTTCTCTCATGATAGCCAAGAAGACAGACTTTGCATAATCGGATGGGGAGCAAGAATGAAAAGCGTATTTTTCCGCATAGTCGCATTCACACGTTTCCGGCCATAATATAAACGGCAATGCTAATTTTGACGGATTTTGCTGAGTCTTTTGCGTTAGATAATCACTGCACGATCCATTGTCAAAGTTAGTATGGGTTGTATTAATGTTCGAGTTGGTATGCCCTATTCTTTCCCAAGGATGTGTTAGTTGAGTTCTGTTAGATGCAAAGCATGCAGAATTTAATATTAGGCTTCTACTAAAATTGTTAGTAAAGTAAAGAAGGTAGCGAGATTTAACTCTACTTTTCATCAGTTCTAAAGATTCTCTTGTCTAATCTCGATTATATGATTCTTATATGAAATGTTGATATAAACTTTATACTATAAAGCTTAAAATTAAACTTTACTTTATTTGAAAATGTGACGAATACGTAATACATGATTATTACATATGTGATAGATAATAAATAATGTAATACATATATAATATTTGTACCTTGTTTTTGATCCTTCGTTTGATAAATGCGGTGATACGACATCTGTAATAAATATCATCTCATTTTAATTACCGGTATCAGAAACAGTTTGCACTTGAGGAATGGCAATGAAATTAATATTTACCTCTTGATGATGTTTGTTGCCTGAAAAAGAAATAAACAGAACAATATATAATGAGTTAAATAAAAATGTAATAAGAAAATTATTAAATATTCGCATTATAAAGTATAACTTACATTGTTTTCGAAGTATCGGCAGTTGTACGTCGCCACGTCGTCGCACCTACGATCATAGTATTTCGAACGTTCAACTTGTAATTATAATGATTATAGTAATTTATCGAAATTTGTTTTCGCGTACCTTTCTTCATGGTAGCTCCTCCACCTGGAGATTTCTCAGCTCCCATTCCTGATAATCTTTTTTCTTCCTCTAACTTCCTAGCATCCTTCAACCCGTGTGATGAAAGTAGCATAAATGGCTGAAACAAAATATTTTAATTATAACTTTAATAATTACTTTTAATTATCAAATCGATTTATATTTTATATTACTTACAGTTCGACCTTCGTATTTAAGTGTTATATCATCCAATGTTTTTACAACACTAGATAACATGGCTAGTACGTCTCTATCTTTTTCACTATTTATTAGATGCGCTAGAGTCGATTCTAATACAGTTAACAATTTTTTATCGGCCGGTATCTGTAGCAAACTTTTTAATTGTGGTAATAGAGAAACTACTTTTAATCTTATATTAGCTACAGGATCTTCTGCCAAGTTCATTAAAACAGTGAAAAAATGTTCCTTGAAGTATACAGAGGAGAAGATTTCCAAGGCCTCTATCATCAAACGAACAAACATCATCCTCACGTAACAACTTGAATTATTAGCTAATCCTGAATACAACTTGGTGCGAAGTTCTACCCTCTGCATAGGTTTCATATTGTAACGTAAAAGAAAAAGATATAGAGTTCCTGCAGAGAGTCGAACTGGTATTGGCCTCTGGAAATTAAAAATAATAAAACATTGTATTGTGTTATATATCTTAGCACTTACTACATTATGTAATATATCTTAAAACTTACAGCATGTAATATTCTGAAAAAGGCCATTGGCACAAAGTATGAATATATAAAATCACTTGGAAAGTATTTAGGTAATATCTCAAGCTGTGAATGCATTAATGATACTAATCTCCAATTGTGTGTAGCTGCTATTTCTGACTCACATTTCAATAATGCTCTGCCTATTTCCATGACAGTGGAATCCTGCAGTTGATAAACACAATTATATAAGTAAGGTAAATATATTTTATTAATGTTTTGCTAAAGAAAAAGTATACAAACCATCTTATCTACTCCGATAATTTGACTTTCAGCCAAACAATCAAGTGTTAATCCTATATGAGGAACTAAACCTTGTAAAACTTCTTCAGAGTTATCTTTTAACAATTTGATTAAGTCCGTTTTTATTCGACCACTTTTTGGACCCAATAGTTTGGCAACCTGTGCAATAAATTGTAAATGTTTATAAAACCATTCACGTTATAATTTTGTATTATAGTTGACAAATTCTTACCTCATGGATTCCACACGCGACAGTTCTGCGTACCAAATAATAATGATCGCTCGCTAATGCAGTGAATGTAAGAAGTAATGCATCTGTATCATCGGCGGAATTTAATACAAAGATGAACATTGCCGGCAGATTAAACGCGCAGCATCTTCTACATTCTACGTATTTTTCATCTTCATCAAGATTAATATTCATCTACAACGATGTAATTTATGCAAAAAAGAATTATATTATTGGTGTTACTTAATTTTGATTGGGATCATATTCATGTAGACTTACAAATGGAAGATGTGGTTTAGACTCCTTTTTCATTGAAACGATACCCATCTGTGCAAGTTGTTGAAAATATTTTAAAAACCATGTTTTCTCCGCGGGTAATAAACATTCTAAAATATCAATTGGACATTAACTTATCACACTCGTGAAGATCAATTACAAATTAATAAAGGATCTTACTTTCTAGGCCAAGCACAATTTTTCCGAATTCTTGGGCAATGACACAAATCACGTCATCATCCGGTTGTACAGACTGTGTATTTTCACATAATTTTTTAACAAGTGGCACTATGGTAGTTTTTATGGTGTCTGCAAATAATTATTTCTACACTGTATCTTGATCTTAAATTCGCATTTAAAATTAACTGAAACATTATTTTGCTACGAAAAATTTGGAATGCTTATGATGCATAACTAATCATTAAGCATACCTTCTTGAAGATGAGGTAGCAAATACGCTATTGTTTGTACAGAGGCGCATCTTACATTGCTTTCTTCATCACTTGCTAATTCTACGAAAGATGGTAGCAAAGCAGATTTTACAGACTCAGCACCAAGGTCTTCAGCAACAAAACGTAGCTGCAAGCAGATACTAGCTCGTACTTCACTATTTACATCCTGACAGAGGGAGTGTACCATTGGAAGAACTTCCTTCTGTATCCTGACAACAATTTTAATACGTATACTTATTTAAAAACTTTATCAAAGCAAAATCATCATTTGAAATATTTCTCAAACATTATATTTCCATACATTTAATTTTATTGTTCAAGGATATTGTTCAAAAGTTGGTACCCCCCAATACCATAAATTATTGAAGATTTTGATAAGATGAAACATACTCACAGAGCAGAATCAAATCTTGTACAAATTTTTCCTAATATCTTGCTGCATATTATCCTGGAGTGGATAGGTTGTGACAATTGTCCTTTGCTTACAGTCAATGGAAGAATCTGTATAATTTTATTTCTATTATCATTCGAATGATATTACTGTTTTTATTAAATTTAAATAATATTTAAATTTTGGGAATATCATTGAAAATATGCCAAATACATAGCATCTCTTTGCAACAAATGAGTTTTGATCGAGCACTTGATGCTTAGTCTAGTGCCAAATAACAAACATAAATCAACTTCATCATTGATCTCTACTATAACCATATTATAAGGTTGCAGATGTGCTACAAAAATTACAATACATTTGCCCTTCTAAATGATAATATTTTCTGAATATCAATTTCTAAGATCATCTATACAAACCTGCTTTCTTATGACATCTACCGGCAGTAACTCTATCACATCCAGTAAGGTCTCCAGCCATGCATGACAGATAACTTTAAATGTATATATATATATATATACATGTTTAGTTACATAGAATAATACCAAACGCATGAAACTGTTAATATAGGTTTAACTAGCAACTCTAATGTACAAGTGAACAAAATTTCTTTACCTGAATCACGCTTTTCAAGCAAATCTAAGATACTTTGAAGGAATGTTCGACTGAAGACATTATGATTGACAAGTTTTTGCTCTAAGATCGTTTTGAATGTAGATGAAGCTGCAATGTGGAATTCCGTGGATGCAGTAGCCAATGATTGCTGCAGTTTTGGCATCACACGTGTCATACATGATTCTGAATCTGTAGCTAAGAGGCTTGGTAATGTTTGTATAAAATTGAGTTTTTGAATTTCATCGCCTTTCCTGAAATAATCATGGATATAACAGCAAAGAATATGAAATGATAATTCTATTAATTAAGATTAATTATTATGAAAACAGTGATTTTTAAATATTAATTATTCATCATTATAAATTAACAATGTAATAACTTATTTATTAAGTGAAAAACTTTACAGCATCATCAAATTTATAAAACCGATCTCGTCATCCTCGCGTTATTTTCCCTAAATGTATGCAACCACCAAGGACAGAAATCTTTATGTAACACATCCTTTTGAAGCATGTGACAATGTTTTCACTGATACACTGTGCATATATGAAAGCATCGTTATATTCTTGCGATTCTCATTTCTCGTAGCACCTCATTATTGCAATAACACACTTGTTATTACTACATCGTTATGCAAAGAGGAAAACGACAATCGATAATACTGTCAATCTTTGAATAACCTACACCTTGAAATCTTATTACTTCGAACGGGGTCTTAGCTAACTGCTTACGAGTTACTCGTAGAATGTCATTTCTTACGAGTGTCTTTAAAGGACTATAATTAGCAACGCTTAGACGACAGGACAGTACACTCCTTGAACGACGCTGCGTTATTTTTAGAAATCGTGTATGGGTTCGTACGAAAGGGAAACAGCCGAGAGGATGAAAAGACGGACGACGATTACGGGCAAGATTCACTAACTAAAAAACCATTCTCTATTCAACCACTCACCGAGGGGTTGTGCTCTTGTATAGAGCTTCCTCTTGCAACATTTTCAAAGCGCATCTTATTCAACGATAACACAAGAAAGCGGTAAAGACCGATTAATTTCTTTACGAGGACGACGATACACGCGTACGCACTCTCATGACGCACTTGACGCAAGAAAAACAACACGACGGAACGTAGATGACAACTAAACTGGGCTCCGACTCCAAGGTATCGATTATATGTGACTTGTCGTACGAGGCGTCGAGCACGCCCGAGTTCAACCGAAACGAACCGAACACGGCCTACGTACGGCAGTAATGAAAACACGTAATACTGTGTCGCGCGTAATACAATAGAGCGATGCGTTGATCGGCACTCAACGTTGTGTAATCGACAAACCGATGTGGTCATTTTGCGATTCCCGTGTGATGATGCATATCACTTTAAGGAACGTCATTTTTATATTTCTTATGAAGAATACCGCTTAAAATCACATTGTCTTTTATAGCTTGTTACGCAACTCTGTGACGCGAATTTCGTGTAATACATCGACCACGATCGAAATGTTCGAAAACTTGTAACGTTTTACGGAATGCATTAACTTCTTTACATTTCAATTAATGTTGCTCTGAAATTCTACCGAGAAATAATATCGATATGTATCATTTGCGCAGTAAAAATAACCCGAATTTTTACGGCCATTATTTAAATTTTATGAAATTAATTAATGACACCACAGCCTTGATACGATAATCACACGGGATTACGTAGCTTAATTCAAGGTTTTGTACAGTGATTTGTCGAAGCACTATGCGCAAAATTACTATTATTATCCGAGCCCCAAGGATATGCCGGTTCTGTAAAGAGCTGTGTGCTGGTAAGATGGAAGACTCGGTTTTCACTTTCGACGAAAGTGAATCGTTATTATCCGGTATTATCAATATATGTGTATATAATTTTCGTTCACTTACGTCAAAAGATGAAGCGCCCTCTCTATAGGCTTATTTTCCAAACTAGGATCTAAACTGTGTTTCCTTAATTGCTCTTCATTCTACGAATGCATGTTAGATTACTTGGAGGAAATTCTATTTTTAATGAACACATAATATTACGTACTCTTATATCAGGTATAGGCTTGTCTAGCTGAAGACTAGCGAATTCTTCATAGTCCATAAACATGGTGCATGCATTTTACGGTTGGTGCTGTAAACGGATATAACCCCATTTATTTGAAAGAATAGATCAGAATAAGAAACGCATATTCAAGTGGTACTCGCGTGAAAGTGAAAAACACGATCGCTCGTGATGATTTTCAGGAATAATCATTGAAATGCTACACGTAGCCGCTCGTCAGGAATTGGTGTAGTAGGGTGCAAGAAATGAATGTTGATTATCGAACACACGCAACTGTATAAAATACGAAATATATTTACTTTTCATAGCATGTCGTATAATTTAGGTAAGTATACATACCTTACGGGCATTGCATAGGGTATATCATATACGTTTAGCGATATAAAAGATTACAGTTTACATTAATATATACAAGAGAGCGAAAGGTTTGGATCGTGATTGAACAGCTCCGGTGAACTTTCGCGTGTATCTTATAGGTTAAGACGATCGCGCTTGCATTCTCATACGAAGCATTCTACGACTTACATGTTCTAAGTTTAAAAACAGATAGAAGACAAAATGAGATAACTATAATTATTAGAGAGAGAGGAAGAACGGGTTACTTAATTGTCATGTTTATTCCGCAGAGAACCAATTCGTAGCTAGAGAACAAGAAGGAAACGTGGAACGCAAATGTACAAATAACACGAGGAGAATCCTGATAAAACACGACGAAAGTCAATGCTGTATTCTTGTCCCTTGGGGGGGAGTCTACGAATAAAGGTGTGCGCTTGACTACGTGATAATATTTAAAAAGATGATGCTAGAGCGACGAATGAAAACTAACCTCACTTTGTCACTCTTGATGCGACTGCAATAGAATTTGCATTTTATTATCGGTATTCGTTCCACAGATATTGACGCCTAACTCTCTCTCTTTCTCTCTCTCTCCCTTTCTTTCTCTCTAGATGGTAGCTCACATTCGAATATTCGCGGAGACTTTTTCTCCTTTCTGCATAGTATGCTCCTACTTTACACGCTATATATATTTTATTCTTCTTCTTGCTTTTTTACAAAAATTCTTCGCGTAAGAAAAGAAATTATGAGTAATATCATCTCGACGCAAGTCTTGTCCGCTACAGCCTATACTTAATAATAAATGTCTCTATATGAATATCTAATACAAAAAAAAAAAAAAAAAAAAAAAAAGAAAGAAAATGTA